TCTTTGGGGAATGGGAGTTCCTCTTTGGTAAGATGCCTTTGAGCAGTAGTATGAGGGATATGAGGCCTCAGGTGAATTGAGCTCCAAGTAGACAAAATGGTGAGTTAAAGGCCCAAGGCTGGGGCGCCTGGATGGCTAGGTTGGTTAAGCTTCTGCCTTCGGCTCAGGTCATGATCCCGGGGTCCTGGGATCAAGGCCCACGTCAGGCTCCCTGCTCCCTTCTCCCTCTCCCACCCCCTCGCTCCTGTTCTCTCTCTCTCTCAAATAAATAAAATCTTAAAAAAAAAAAAAGTCAAATGCCTAAAGCAGGAGGGTGTTTGAGGCATGTCAGGGAAGCCTTTGTGATTACAGGGAACGGAACCAGAGGGCGTGGCTGGTGATCATGTGGAGATAAGGGCAGTGGGGTAGTGGCTGGAGTTTGGAGTATACAGCTCATGTAGGACCTTGGAAGGACATTTCAAGGGCTTGATATTTTTAAATAACAAGAAGGTGACAATAGGGACTTTCCAGTAGAAGACAAATATGAAATCATTCGTATTTAAAATGATGGCTTTGACTCTTCATAGAAAGGAGACGGTAGCAGACAGGGGTTGAAGCCTAAAATCCAGCTGGGAACCTGTTGCTATAGTCCAAGACACCTGCAGAGAGAGGGTGAGGGTTGGTCAGCTTTTCAATGTGTTTATAAAGAGGGCAGAAATGAATTCCTACTGAAGTAGATGGAGGGTGTGAGAGAGAATACAAAAGCTGGATGATGGTAAGTCTTTTTGGTGTGAGTCTGGGAGGAGGGAGTTGCCATTTCTGAGATGAAGATGACGTGTGGAGGTGTGGGTTGAGAAGTCAGGGGCTCTGTTTTGGACGTTGTACGTCATTAGACCATGCTCGTGCACATCCAGGTGCAGCATGCTGTGTTTGGACATACCTGAGGAGTCCAGGGAGAGTTTAGGACTAGAGATAGAAATATGGATTGAGTAGATCTCCTGTGATATGTGTACAGATTAAGAAGAGCCTTGGACAACTAGCTATCAGAATGATGGCTATTTGTTAAATGCAGGGTTTCCTAATAATGGTACCCAGACCCCTTTTGAGAGTGTATTTTTGTTAGATTTGGGTGATAGCCTGGGCTAGTCTATATATAATGCCCTAAGCAGGCCCTCTTGAGCCTAGTTAGTGAACCACAATCTTCATATGTGCTGGAAGAAATTGAATTTAGTGAGAAGTAAAGCAATATATTCTAGGAGTAAGATTTTAGTACCAAGGGCGCCTGGGTGGCTCAGATGGTTAGGCGTCTGCCTTCGGCTCAGGTCATGATCCCAGGGTCCTGGGATCGAGTCCCGCATCGGGCTCCCTGCTCCTTGGGAGCCTGCTTCTCCATCTGCCTCTCTCTCTCTCTCTGTCTCTCATGAATAAATAAATAAAATCTTTAAAAAAAAAAAGATTTTAGTACCAAATAGAGGACAAATGGGCATGTAATATATAGCGGTTCAGCTTTTGAATGAGGCATCTTTTTTTTTTTGAGAGAGAGCACATGTGAGCAGGGGAGGAGCAGAGGGAAAGAGAGAATCTTAAGCAGGCTTCACACTCATCACGGAACCCAATCCAGGGCTTGATCTCACAACCCTGAAATCATGACCTGAGCTGAAATCAAGAGTTGGATGCCCAACTGACTGAGCCATCCAGGCACCTCTTGAATGAGGCATCTTGTGCTATAGTTCTGGACTGTGTGAAGTTAATTGTCAAAATGAACAGTAAAGCGGGGCACCTGGGTGGCTCAGTTGGTTAATTGTCTGACTTTGGCTCAGGTCATGATCTCAGGGTCCTAGGATCAAGCCCCATGTTGGGTGCTCAGTGTGGAGTTTGCTTGAAATTCTCCTTCTCCCTCTGCTCCTCCTGCTGGTGCTCTCTCACTCTCTCTAAAATAAATAAATCTTAAAAAAAAAGGCAGCCAAGTCTATGTTTATTCATTTTGAGTGATCTAACCTTGTTCATGCACCGACAGTTCTTATTTGTATTTTCTTTGCTTATATTACTGTGTTTGACCTTTGTCCAAGTGATAACGTATTTACTTGGACTTTCTTTAAGATGAGGTCATTGTGTTATCAGTAAAGAGCCAGCCTACACAAAGCCATTTGTGAAATAGTTTTATTATATACCAAGCTCGTGGAAAGATTCATTCTTCTCTTTTTTCCTAGAGATCAAGAAAGATGATGGTCATCTACAGGGGCACTTGCAAAATCAAAGATGTCCAAAGAGAATGAAACAATGCCATGAACATAATGCATTCGGAAACGTCATTCATCAGAGTAAAAGTAATTTTCCCTTAAGGCAAAATCATGATATCTTTGACTTAAATGGGAAAACACTGAAATCAAATTTAAGTTTAGTCAACCAGAACAGAAGCTATGAAGTAAAGAACCTCATTGAGGTTAATGGGGACACGAAATCCTTACCCCATACAAAGCATGACCAGTATTGTATTGAAATTAAATTTCCTGAATGTGGGAATTCTATGAATACAAATTCCCGATTCATCAAGCATCAAAGAACTGAAAAGACAGAGAAACCCCATGTGTGCAGTGAATGTGGAAAAGGCTTCTTCAAGAAGTCTCGGCTCATGGATCATCAGAGAGTTCACACAGGAGAGAAGCCTCATGGGTGCAGCATATGTGGGAAAGCCTTTTCCAGAAAGTCCAGACTCACTGAACATGAGAAAACTCACGTAGGAGAAAAGCGGTATGAATGCTCTGAATGTGACAAAGCATTCCCCAAGAAATCACGGCTACTTATGCATCAGAAAACTCATACAGGAGAGAAACCCTACGTGTGCAGTGAGTGTGGAAAAGGCTTCATCAAGAAGTCTCGGCTCATTAACCATCAGAGGGTTCACACAGGAGAGAAGCCTCATGGATGCAGTCTGTGTGACAAAGCATTCTCCAGAAAGTCCAGGCTCATTGAACACCAGAGAACTCATACAGGAGAAAAACCTTATGAATGCACTAAATGTGACAAAACGTTCCGCTGGAAATCACAGCTCAATGCCCATCAGAAGACTCATACAGGAGAGAAATCGTATATATGCAGTGATTGTGGAAAAGGCTTCATTCAGAAGGGCAATCTCATTGTACATCAGCGAACGCATACTGGGGAGAAGCCTTATATATGCAGTGAATGTGGGAAAGGTTTCATTCAGAAGGGCAATCTCCTTATACATCAACGAACTCACACTGGAGAGAAACCCTACGTATGCACGGAATGTGGGAAAGGCTTTAGCCAGAAGACATGCCTCATATCACATCAGCGATTTCACACTGGAAAGACTCCCTTTGTGTGTACTGAGTGTGGAAAATCCTGTTCACACAAGTCTGGTCTCATTAACCACCAGAGAATTCACACGGGAGAGAAACCCTATACCTGCAGTGACTGTGGGAAGGCTTTTAGAGATAAGTCGTGCCTTAACCGACACCGGAGAACTCATACAGGAGAGAGGCCCTATGGATGTGCTGACTGTGGGAAGGCTTTCTCTCACCTGTCATGCCTTGTTTACCATAAGGGAATGTTGCATGCAAGAGAGAAAAGTGCACGTTCAGTCACATTGGAGAATCCTTTCCCAGAGAGCTACAGCTCATCACTTTCCAATGATAGCATGCAGGAGAAAGACCCTGTTAACACGGTATCTGTGCAGATGCCTTCTGTAGCAGCTCAGACTTCCTTACACCTCCGTGGACTCCTAGCAAATAGGAGCATAGCCACTGTGGGACAGCCAGGTGCCAGATGTGCACCATCAGCAGATAACAGAATTTGCACAGAGAAACCTTTTGAATGCAGTGAATGTGGTAGTGCCTTCACTGATCAGTTACGTCATATTTTATGTCACAAAAAGCACACAGGAATAAAGTGTGATACGATCAAGGTGGAAAACCCTTGACTAAAACTTTACTTCCTGCTCATTATTGGGCTGATAAGTGTATACGGAGACAAACAGTATAAGGACCAGGTATAAAGACAAATAGTATAAAGATCGGAAAATCCTTTGTGGAAAGATAGACCTTACTGGTGTTTCATAGGTCACATATCATCAGTGAGCTCATAGCTGGTAGAAATATAATGACCCTGGAAAAGTCCTTCACGAGAAATAAGACTTCAGTAGGCGTCAGAGATCTCACACCAGAGAAGAACAGTTGGAAGAGCTCTGAAGGCAGTGAATGTGGCATGGTCATCAGTGGGGCATTCTGCCTCATCAGTTGGCAGAGGAAATATACAGAAGTAAAACTCTGACCTCACCAACTGTGGAACATCTTCGGCAAAGTACCAGAAAACACATAAAGCAAATAAGCCCCGTGAAAATGAGTGTTTTAGAGATTTCTGCCACAAGTTTAAAATCATTTTACTTAAGATAATGTACATAGTGTACATTTAGGACAATGTACCTCGAATCAAACTCATTGATATGATGGTCACTCTTTAATTCAAAGGAGGTGGTATATATGGCACATCAATGGTTAGAGTTAGGACAGTGCACCCCCTCCCTTTTTTGGGGGGCCGTGAATCTCTCGTTCCCACGCATGATCATTATATGGTTAGCTCTTGTGTTTCTTTGGTTCTAAATTTATTCAGTTTATTTTAGGATATTGAAGTCCCTCCTTCAGCCTTCAAAAGGAAAGTGAATACATTTGATTCAATAATGTACCATCGTGTGTTTGGATGTGTTTAACTTTGTAAATCTCACCCAAAGGAACAACTGCTCAGAACTCACAACCCGTCAGCCAGGTTCTTTCCCTAGAAGATAGTTCCCATCCAGTACACACACCACTCAGAAAAACTTTCAACTGTTTCCTTTGCCTAGTGCTGTTCTAGAACCTACAGATCACTGACAGTGATGAACTGAACAGAAGTCCTTGCTGCCTTTGAGCTAGCATTTTTTTTTTAAGATTTATTTATTTGAGAAAGAGAGCACAAGCAGGGGAAGTAGAAGGCAGAGGGAGAGGGAGAAGCAGGGAGCCTGATGTGGGGCTCGATCCCAGGACCCTGGGATCATGACCTGAGCCAAAGGCAGACGCTTAACCAACTGAGGCATCCAGGGGTCCCTAAGCTGGTGTTTTTTTAAAGCTGGATTATATGTGTGTAGCAATTTGACCCTCCAGCATGTGTAATCAAAGGATGTATACACCTACATTAGTTGAAAAGGACATACTGTAGAAGATACAAAGTATCTTGGTAATTTCTTGTTCAAGGGGCATATTATCTGGAAAGGGAGCAGGAAAGGATTCACTTAGTTTTACACATGTAAAATAGGATATGGAGACTTTTTTTTAAAAGGTTCGTATCTTACCTCTCCACTTGGATTATAAATGTCTATCTGGATAGTTTATAGTTTTATATTCCCCAGCACATAGTAAAATAGAAATGAATTACATTGCTTTGAAAGGTGATTGAAAGTGAGTGTATGACGTATTAATGACCTAACAGACTAATCAACCAAACATATTTTTGTCACTGAAGGAAAGGAGCTATGGGAAAGAAATTTCAAAGATCAGTATTATCCCAAGAAACATAAAAAAAAAAAAAAAAGAATCCTGAATAGAGGCCTCTGGCAATATAGAATGGGCTGATCAGTGAAGGAATAGGCTCCACCGAACAAGCCCAATTAATGGAAGGAAATGAGGTCACTTTAAAAATTGAGGACAGTGTGTTAAATGGGTGGAGGTGAGATTCGGTCAGATGTCGTGGAGAAGAGCCCTGACTCTGGTCCACCGTCTGCCACCTGTTAGAGGGGCCAGAGTCTCAGGGATCCCAGCTCCACTGTGATGTGATGAACGGAGACATGATGTAGCATCATCATCTTCGTTGTCTTGTGTCAATGGGGCCTGTGTCATCTCTTCTGTACTCAGGGTTCTTTCCCTTGCTTCAGTAAAGATCTATCCAGCTTCAAAACAGTCCTACTTACAAGGGAAAAGAGTGGAAATTTGCCATGAAGTGGCTGTTTCATAATTGAATTCCAAACTTGAGTCAATTACTCCATTCACTACTACAAACATCTTTTTGAGCATCTGCACTGTGCTCGGTACTGTTGTAGACATGGGATACTCTGGTGAACAAAACATGGAAACTAATGGCCTCTAACAGGATGGATGCGGGGCAGATGCTCTTCAAAGAATCAGAAATGGATTCTTCTTTGACTCAGTCTTCAAGTTCTTTCCGCTCCTTGTCTTGTGAATCTGCACATCCTATCATGGTGGTTGGCGTCGTCCTACTTAAATCTGCAGTCAGTGTCCCTGAATGGGCTGCCCAGCCTACTCTGAACCTGAGGACCAGGTGCTGAACTCACCTTTCCGAGGTTGGTAGCCCAGGTAAATAAAACGTTTTAGTGCGATAGATTCCATATTATCCTCTTTAAGAAGGTGGTCTCAGCTTACATCGTCTACTGCTCCACCCCCTTGCCTTCATAAAAATCAGTTCTAACTAACACTGAGTGTGCCGTTTGCCAAATGATAACCACATTGTTTTATTACTTAGTATTCTGAAATGTTCCATTTCCATCTTGGTGTATTTTAGGGAAATGCTCTTGTACATTTGAAGCCTCATCACTTTCTCTGGGTACCACGTTCTCAGCTGTTGCACATGGTGATGAGTGAGGGTACTGAGGTCAGGGTTGGGGATCTGTTGGGGTCCAGACTCTGCCTTGTCTGGCTCAGTGGGGTTGGGTGTATTAGTCTGCTTGGGCTGTCATAACAAAGCACAGACTTGGTGGTTGAAACAGCAGACGTTTCTTGCTCACAGTTCTGGAGGCTAAAGTGTGAGATCAAGTCCACAGGGTTGGTTCCTTCTGAGGTCTCGCCTTGGCTTGTAGATGACCACACACCCTTTGTGTGTGCTTTAGGCTGGAAAATGAAGTGGAAGCTCTTCAGCTGTTCCTCATGGAGGACCATGGAGGTTCAAGTGAAAAGGAGAGTTGATTTTTGGCGGGATGTGCCTTGAATGTCTCTAATAAAAGTTGCGTTCACTGATTTCTGCCCAGGAGTATCCCTGCCTTTGAGCTGTACACCTTTTCCTCTGATAATGTTACAGAGAGTCAGTTAGGAAGTTTCTGGGGCTTGGACCAAGGCTGGGGGATAAGGGACCCTGTGAATTTGGAGGAAATGAGGAAAATTGTAGAAAGTGGTTAAGGTTAAGGTTCCTGAGCAAGATATTTGATTCCAAAGGCTTAGTGTGACATAATAAGAAATACATATTTGGTCTCTGCTCCCAGTTCCTGACTCAGAGCTCCTAAAACCCTTGTAATTTCCTGAGCCACGGTGGTGATAGGAGTATCTTACACAGAGCTGTTAAATCCCTTGAAACTTCCTGGTGATAGAAGTGTCTTTTCTTCTAATAAGGTGACTCTTGGTGGGCTCCTGGGTGTATCCTGGATTGGGGCTGTTTACCAGAAAGACCACCACCCTTGACTAGAAGCTTGGAACTTTCAGGGCAGGGAGAGGGGCTAGAGATTAGGTTAATAATCATTCATATCTATCTATCTACCTACCTACCTACCTACCTATCTACGTATCTATCTATAATCATTTGAAACTTTTGTCTTTAAAATGCTTACATGAATCAAGTAGGTAATTTTTTTAAAGTAAAGGTAATATGTATATATTTTTTTAAATTGTTGATATTTATGCATATATTATATATATTCAGCAAACAAGTGAGTTCCCTTTTATGTTGGGGGTCCTCAAGACCATCCTCAGGTTTGATAATTTGCTAAGACTCAGAACTCAGAAAACTTGTTATACTCAAGGTTACATTTACTATAGAAAGGATAGAGCTTCAAACAGCAAAGGAAAAGCCACGGTGTGACCTGGGGGTGGTGGCTGTGTGTCAAGTGGTGCCTGAGCCTGTGGAGAAGCTGGAAACTGAAGTCAGCCCTGTGTGTGTCCTGCCCAGCTGATGTGATCGAGCCCCAGTAGAGAGTGGACATCAAGGCTCAGGTGAGCTTTCCCTGATGGCACTTTCCCCTGCCTGCTGTCACAAGTTCTTGCTGAGGAAGTGGCACTGCCCATGACTCCATTGTGGGAGGACAGCTGGATGCTCCATGTTTGGAACTTTCCTGTTCCAAACTCTGCCCTTTGTGCCACTCTTCTTGGCTGAGGTTAATCTGTATCCTTTAACTATAATAAACTGTAACTGTGAGTGTAACAGCTTTCAGTGAGGTCTCAGTCCCGCTAGCAAATTATCATGGCCTTACGGAATATTCTCCCTAGTTTCGGTAGCTCAGTGCTGCATTTTGGGTAATTTCTAGTCCACTAATTATCCCTTCAATGCTTCTAATATGCTTTTAAAATATGTGTTTCTTTTTTCAGAAATACTCTTCTCCTCAAATCTGCCTACTTGTCTCCTTATAGTTCCTGTTCTTTAGGCATTTTTTTAAAGATTTTATTTATTTATTTGACAGAGGCAGAGATAATGAGAGCAGGAACACAAGCAGGGGGAGTGGGAGAGGGAGAAGCAGACTCCCCACAGAGCAGGGAGCCTGATGCGGGGCTCAATCCCAGGACCCTGGGATCATGACCTGAGCTGAAGGCAGATGCTTAACAACTGAGCCACCCAGGCGCCCTGTTCTTTAGGCATTTTAAAATACTTTATTCCTTACAACATTTTTTTAGAGAGGAAGAGGGAGGTTGGGAAGGAGGGGCAGAGGGAGAGTGAGAGAGAATCTTAAGTAGGCTCCACGCCCAGCACGGAGCCCAACATGGGGCCAGTCTCAGGACCCTGAGATCATGACCTGAGCTGAAATCAAAAGCTGGACTTTCAATCACCTGAGACATCCAGGTGCCCCTACAATGTTTTTTTAAAAAACTGCTTGTATTGATGCAGCATATATGGTGACAATAAGCAGAATAACTTCCTTTACATAACATCTGTATCAATAAAAGGGAGGTGCACCTGGCTGGTTCAGTTGGTAGAGCATGCGACTCTTGATCTCAAGGATGTGAGTTCAAGCCCTGCACTGGGTGTAGAGATTACTTAAAAAAAAAAAATAAATAAATGGGAAGCATTCATGTTAAAGAGGATTCTGTTGTTACAGGACTTGCTGACACTGGAGGATGTGGCTGTGGACTTCACCTGGGAGGAGTGGCCGCTCCTGGCCCCTGCCCAGAAGGACCTGTACCGGGACGTGATGTTAAAGAATTATAGGAACCTGATGTCAGTGGGTGAGGACAGCTCCCTTGTGTCACTTAGAGGGTCCTCATCAGTGGTCTTTCCTCTCTCAGCCACTTAAAGCTTCAGAGTATCTGCAGTGCTCTCAAGTAGTAGAGTCTCAGATCCTTCTCTGGCTTCAGACAAGAGTGTACAATGAGTTGTCTCCTGAGAGAAAAGCCTCTGAGTTGCAGATCTGAAACTGTCACAGCCCCTCAGATATAGCATTCTCCCATCTTGACAGACCCCAGCCCATTTCGAAGTGTTCTGTCTTTTCCATGAGCAGGGCATCAAGCTAGCAAACCAGATGTGCTTTCCAAGCTGGAATGAGGGCAAGAAGTGTGGCCGATAGAAGAGGAAGTCCACAGTCGAACCCATCCAGGTGAGTGGGTAAGAACAGCAAGGTAGACGGCTGAGGAAGTCCCGTTCTCAGTCAGGGAAGGCTCCAGGGCTGTGGCGGTGTCTGAGGATGTCTAAACAGCTGCCCCTCACATCCTTCTTCCCTTACTAGATAGAGCTTCTTAGTAGGAATTGAGGAAAGTATGCCCCTTTTGTTCTTCCAAGAGCTGATCCCTGTTTATTTTATGTACATCTTGATTTTTGTTGTTGTTTGGTTCTCTTCTTCCTACATTTCTCAGATCTCCTTTTTTTTTTTTTTTAAAGATTTATTTATGTATTTTAGAGAGAGAGCATGTGCGAGTGGTGGGGCGGGGCAGAGGGAGAGAGAATCTCAAGCAGACTCTGTGCTGAGTGAGGAGCCCGATGCAGGCTCAATCTCACGACCCCAAGATCATGACCTGAGCTGAAACCAAGAGTCAGACGCTTGACTGACTGTGCCACCTGGGCGCCCCAACTCAAATCTCTTTTATTCATTGTAACAGTGTCTCTAACTACTTCTTCTACCTCCCACCTCCCTTGCTATGAAATCTCACCTTCCAGGCATTACTCCAAACGTAGGCCTTTGAATTCAACATAGTCTTCCAACTAGTTCATCTTCCCATTCCATTGCAAACTAGTGATTTCCCTTCCCAGCGTTCAGCCTCACTTTGGATGCTGTGCCCACGCTGTCATCTGATCTCTGTGTTTCCATGGTTTCTTAGCTTGTTCTAGACTAAATGTTTGTGTCCTTTCAAGATTAGGATGTTGAAATCCTAATCCCTAGGGGATGGTGTTAGGAGGTGAGGCCTTTGAGAAGTGATTAGGTTATGACGGTCCTGCCTCTTCTGCCATATGAGGTTGTAGCTGGGAGGCACTGCCTGTGAAAAAGGAGGCCTTCCAGACACCAATCTGTTGGTACCCTGATCTGGGACTTCCCGGCCTCCAGAAATATGAGAAATAAATTTCTGTTGTTTTTTGTTATAGCAGCCTGAGTGAATTAAGACACTTCTCTTTCCCCACTCTGAAATTGTCCAAAGTTTCTATTTTCTGTTTCTTGCTCTCTTCTGATTTCCTTAAAGCTTGCCTTCATTTTGATGAGTTAAGCTCTTACTCTCTATAAAGACTCCTAAGTTCACAGAAACTCCTGAGTGAACTCAAGAGTTTTTCTTGAGGAACTAAAATCACTTTCTCTGTAAGAAAATTTCTTCCATCTTCCTCTTTCTTTTTTTAAGTTTAGGGTCCTCTAACAGTTTAGAAAAACAAGTATCTACTAAAGTAGGTTAAGAAAGAATAGTGGGAGTTAAGAAAGAGGTGGTGAGGTTGGACGATCTAAGAGAGTCTGGTTCTCCAGAAGCAGAACAAAAATGTCTTTCAAGAAAGTAAGAGCTGGGCCATCTGGGTGGCTCAGTCAGTTGGGCATCTGCCTACAGCTCGGGCCAGGATCCCGGCGTCCTGGGATCAAGCCCCGTGTCAGGCTTGGGGAGTCTGCCTGCTTCTCCCTCTCCCTCTGCCCCTCCCTGCTACTTGTGCTTTCTCTTGCTTGCACTCTGTCTCTTTCTCTCAAATAAATAAAATCTTAAAAAAGAAAAAAGAAAATAAGAAAATAAGAGCCGTAAACATTATCTGGAGTTGCTGATTCATCAAGTAAGATACAAACTAAGGGATAGGGGTGTGATCTTACTGTTGTCTTCCTATTCTTACAGTTGCGTGTATGTGTACTTTTTTCACTTTAAATTCTCTTTTCATGACGTGGTCTTTGACCACTCTCTTGTGTTTTCCTTCTATGAATTCTCATTGTACTTTGCATCCAGACCATTGAAACGCAGCCTTGAAAACACCGTATCCATCTATTTTTCAAACATTTCCTAAATCCAAGACTTTTGTTGGAGACTCTGTGCATAATGCATGTATCCAGACCTCTCCCTCTCAGTCTGGTTGATTAGATTTGGGGTACGAGTCTCAGGATGTCAGTATTTAAAGTTCTCTAGAGGATGCTGTTGTGGCAGTTTACTTGGCGACTCATAGCTGAAATGATGAATTTCAACAGAAGTGAAAAATACTATCTAGTAGCAAAGATTTTTGTGGTGAATATATGACATGGATACATGAACATCTGTATGCAATAGAGGTTTTGAACACAAGGTATTGCTGCTAGATTTCAAGGTTGAGGTTACATGTCAAAATGATTAGTAAAGATGTGATACTGTGGAAATCTAGAGGAAATAGAACCTACAGTTATATAGAGAGCATGGGAAATGATGGCATGATACGTGGAGCATATCTAGATTTTAAATAAAGATCACGTGGGCTGCTCAAGTGGGTCAGTCAGTTAAGCATCCAACTCTTGATTTCAGGTCAGGTCATGACCTCAGGGTTATGAGATCGAGCCCTGTACTGGGCTTCGTGCTCAGCACAGAGTCTGCTTGAGATTCTCTCTCTCCTCCCTCTGCCCCTTCCCTTGCTTGCATATGTTCTTTCTCTCTCTAAATAAATAAAACCTTAAACAAAAAAAAGATAATGAAGGGTAAAGAATGGAGGCATAAATAGTAGGAAATCTGCAAAGCCATGGCCAAGACTGCCACAGATGGGTCTGAAGCCAGCCATGTGAAGGCCAGTGTCAGAGGGTATTCGTGGGGTAAATAGTGGAATGGGAATGGGTAAACGGGGTAATCAAGGCAACGTTAACTTTTATTGCCATGCTGACTGTTTAGATTTTATGTATTAGTAATTGAATTCTTCGAGGTAGCATGATGGTAGGGTTCTTTTTGTTGTTGTTTTGTTTTTCTCTAGCTCTGGGTAGTCTTAATTTCTACCTGGTAGCAACTGTGTAGCAATAATAAGGAACAGCCAGAGGTTGTAGGAAAAACTGAACGTCTAGCTGGCTTGAGTCTTGGTTCAAAAGGAGGCAAGTGGTCCTTTAGGCTGCCTAACTGATACCAGCATGGAGACATAAATGTAGGATTATGGAAGAAGATGCAGTCCGATGCAAGATGAGGGGTCAGTGCATTAGGGATATCAAAATGGGGGGAGATCAGCTGTGACATCTGTATATAGGTGCAGCATGCAGAATGTATTTTTCTTACCACGTTGAGAGGCACATATGCGGGCGCCTGGGTAGCTGAGTTGGTTAAGTGCCTGCCTTCAGCTCAGGTCATGATCTTGGGGTCCTGGGATCAAGCCTTCTCAGGGGGGAGTCTGCTTCTCCCTTTCTCTCTGCCCCTCCCCACCATTTGTGCTCTCTCTAGCTCACGCTCTCTCTCAAAGAAATAAAATAAAATCTTTAGAAGCACATCTCCCTCTGGAGAACTCTGTGTGTCCGTCCAGTCTGTTGGGAATTCCTGGATGGTCATTGTCTCTCATCTTTGCCGCTTTCTTCAGGAGCAAACCTCAGCTAGACTAAAAGTTGGAGTGTTGAGATAAGAGTTGCTCTCTAAATGTGTGACCAGTGTGATGGTACTATGCAGAATGAAGAAAAGGGTAGATTTTAGAAACAGGACGACCACCTAAGAGTATCATAGATACGTCAAAATCAAACACTGAGGATCCAACCTCCTGAATTGCCTTGCTGAGCCATTTGTTCATAACAAGCATCTGCTTCTGTCCTTGACCAACATCATCAGTTTGTTTCCTTTGGTGGGATCTTCCAGACCAGAAGTCTGAATATCTGAGTGACTAACGTCTTGGTCCTCTGCCTCAGCTTTCTTTCCATCTTTGCATTGTCTGAGCATGACCTCAGCTCATCCTTTATCCTTAAATATTTATATGCTGAACTTGTCCACACAAGCCAATTCTCAACATTGATACATCCAACTGGGTATCACTTTATGGTCTAATAAAAATCTAAATGTTTATATGCTTCTAAAAGTCCACTTATTTCCCCCACATTCTAAACCTCAGCAACATTCACCCCCTTGAAGGCGGTTTCCACTTACCTCTTGACTCAAGAGAAATACTGAGGAGTAAATCTTAATTCCTCGTGTTCTTTATCCGCCCCCCTCCCCATTTTGAACTCACCGGTGAGACTTGTCTTACCCCATAGTGTGTCTTCATTTCCTCCACCCCTCTTCATCTCCTTTGCTCCTTCAAACTACTTCTCATAATTTGCAGCTGCCTCCTTTTCTTCTTTGCTTATTTTCCCTGACTAGAGTGTAAGCTCAGTGAGAATAATAGGTTTGTGTATCCCCAATGCCAGCACTATGGCCAGTACCTAACAGGCATTTTATCAGGATTTGTGGAATGACTGAATGCAGCCCTTGTAATTTTGGATGATGTTTTCCTTCCACCTCTATTTTCTCTTCTAACAGTGGCTTTCTTATTTTCTACCCTTTCTGCATGTTTTTGCAAGACGCTATTTAGAAAGCAGCTGACTCTATATTTATTCGTTGTGAATCATCTAAGCTCATTTGTATGTTTATTGCTTTTTCCACTTGATTTTTGTGTGTTGTGTTTTTACCAGTGTTCAAGAAATAAGGAACATTATTAAAGATTCTTTTATCCTGAGATCATGCAGTCAACACTAAAGATTGGCCAGTCCACACCTGGGCATTCATTGTTCTCTTCTTTCCTAGAAGTCGAAATTGTTGATCATCTGCAGTGATACTTGCATACCCAGAGATTTCTAAAGACAACTAAATATGGAACCATGTGTGAACGTAATGTCTGAAAATATTGTTCATCTGGACCAACATCATTTTCCTTTAAGGCAAAATCATGGAAAAACTCTGCCATCAAATTTAAATTCAGTCAGTTAAAACAAACTGTGAAATAAAGAACCCCATGTGCATGGTGGAGATGGGAAATCTTTTCTCCTTACAAAATATGAGCAAATTCATACTAAAATGCCTGAAATTGGAAAACCCATCAGCACTAAGGCTCCCATTTATTAAGCATCAGAGAACTCACAAAATCGAGAAATGCACATATACAGTGAATGTGGGGCTTCCCTCATCAGGCAGTCTCAGCTCACTGAAGATGAGAGAATTCACTGAGGGGAGAAACTCCATGGTTGTAGTACATATGGGAAGGCACATACCACAAAGTCTAGACTCACTGAGCACCAGAAAATTCATACACAAGAGAAACCTTATATAGGTGAATGTGGCAAAGCCTGTTATAGGAAGTCAGTCATTATACATGAGAGAAAAGAAAGAGGAGAAAACCCCCGTTGATGCACTAAATGTGGCAAAGCCTTTCTCATTAAATGACGTCTTATTTTACATCAGAAAACTCATACCTGAGAGAAACACTATATGTGTAATGATTGTGGAAAGGGCTTCACGCAGATTAGTTTCACCGTACATTGGTGAACTCATACTGGTGAGAAACCTTATATATGCAGTGAATATGGACAAGGTTTCATCCAAAAGATAAGTCCCATATGACATCAGGGAGTTCATACAGACAAGACTTCCTTTCTATGTAGTGACTGTGAAAAATCCTGTCCTCAGAAGTCAGGTTTCATTAAACATCAGAAAATGCACACAGGAGAGAAACCTCATAAATGTAGTGAATGTGGGAGAACCTTCATCATGAAACAACAGCTTGTTGTCCATTAAAGAACTCATATAGGAAAGAGATCCTATAAATACACTGGGTGTAGGAAAGCTTTTTCCTACAAGTCTTGCCTTATTAAACATAAGAAACATACACAAAGGAGAAATATTTAGATTCATAAATGTGGAAAACCCTTCCACAGAGAGTTACAGCTTCTTACGTATAAGTGAAACACTGTTAATTTGGTCACTGCAAATGCCTTCTGTCACCCCTCAGACATCATTAAGTTATCAGTGGGGTCTTAGCAAATAGGAACATAGTCCTTTCAGAAACAAACTCGTGCTAGATGTGCACCCTCGAGATAGCAGAAAATTTGCACAGGGGAATAAAAACCTTATAATGCAGTGAGTGTGATGGTGCCTTCACTGGTCAATTAGGTCACATTTTATGTCTCAAAAAAACCTATGGGAAGGAAACTTAGATATATTTGAGGTAGAAAAACTGAACAAAAAAATTCCAGGTCATTCTATAGCTAAGTATATTTTGAGAGAAACACGAATGCAGAGACTGGGAAAGCATGACAGATTTCATCCTGTATGTATATTTATGTGTTGATACAGACACATAGTCTGATGTTATTAGTCCCAGCTTCCATCTACCCTGATTGCTCACTTTTGTCAGCTAATCTGGAATGTCTGAGATCATAAGTGAAGCAAAACACTACTGTGATGACAAATGAGATAACTGGTATCTGGATGTTGCTAGGACTGAAAACCTTTGTAATATGGAGTTGCTTGGTAGGAAAAAGCAGTATTTAACTAGTGGTGGTTGGGGCACATGTATCTGTTCAGTTCCCCTAGGACAGTGTGGAGGATTAATTGAAAAGTGGTACCCCTTTCACAGGTTTTCAGGACCTTGTATTATGCAAAGTCACCTGAGAAACAGCCTTACACTGAATCTCTGTTCATTCAGTGAGTATTTGTGAAATACCTCCTTTGCATCTGGTATTGTTCTACCAGCTAAGGACACAGCGGTGAACAAAACAGAATGTCTTTGCCCTCGGAATGAGTGTTAAGTTAGCTGAATTATTTGTAAGTGGTATCTTCATACTCCATCTGACATACTCGGGGTATGTAAACTCTATATTAGGTGAAATGGACATGGACTAACTGGATCATGGGGTTTGGATTTAGAATGATGTGGAGTTAGATCCTAAGAACATCTTTCCCCAAGGAGGGTATACTGGGAGACAGGGAACACTCCTATTAATAATGTATAAATAATTGACTGATGAATGGATAAAGAAGATGTGATACACACACACTGGCATATTATGCAGCCATAAAAAAGGATGAAATCTTGCCATCTGGAGCTAGTGTATTATGCTAAGCAAAATAACTCAGAAGGATAACTACCATATGATTTCACTCGTGGAATTTAGGAAACAAAACATGGATTGGGGGCAGAGAGGCAAACTGACTCTTAACTAAAGAGAACAAACTGATGGTTACTGGAGGGGAGGTGGGGGGCCCTCGGTGGGTTTATAAATAGATGATAGGTATTAGGGAATGCATTTGTTATGATGAGCACTGGGTGTTGTATGTAAGTGACGAATCACTAAATTCGACATCTGAAACTAATATACTGTATGTTAACTAACTGGAATTTAAATAAAAACTTGGAAAGAAAAAAGATGTATAAATAATCCAGGATACAAATACTTTTTAAAAAATGCCCATGTCTTACCACCCCACGATGATTATACATTCCTTGATAGTTTTGCAGTAACTTCAGTAGCCATTAGCTACAAATGTAAATTAATTAAAATTATTTAAAAATGTATTTCATCAGTATCAAGGGTTCACATTTCAAAAGTTCAATATTTTTTTGTGGCTAGTGACTACCATTTTGGACAGTACCGATTAGAACATTTCGTTGTCACAGAACAGTCTATTGCATGGTGCTGCTTTATAGGGTCACATATCCTTTGTGATATAGAAAAATATATATATTGCCTTGGAAGATGCAGGTGAATGGACTCTAAAGAAAAAGTTCTATCATTGCAAAGAATGAGCGATTGTAAGGCAGTTCTAAAAGAATGGAATTGTTCAAAAAATGTTTTGTGTAGATGTGCATTAGAATAAATGTCTGCCTATAAAAGGAGGAGAGCAGAAGAGCAATGGGATGCCCCAGATAAGTCAAATAAAAGGCATGAGAACCTTGGTCTAAGATGGAAGAAACCTGGAATATGAAAGGAGGTAAGATCCCTCTTGGGTGTACTGGAGAAGAACCCTTACATTGTTCACAACCCTATCACCTCTGAAAGTTGCCATAATTTCATGGTTCCCATTTCCTCTGTGACCTGCTTAATTGCACATGTGATCTTCCTTTTCTAGTCCTCCTCCTTCTTCTTAGGGCTGTGGCTCTTGTCCTCTCTCCTCTACCCAGAGTCTTTCTCTTGATCCAATAAAGGTATCTTGCTAAAAATCCTTGAATCCTGATTAGAGAAGAAGAAATGGATATTTGCTATGCAGTAGCTGTCTTACCTTTCCACCACAAACCTCTGGATTATCAGGGAAATTCGATCCAACATATATTTGTAAGCACCTAAATTTGGTTGTCTCAACGCTTGAGATTTGATTCTGTAATGCAGTCATGAGATAATTCAGAACAGGAAAATTTTCATGATTGATTTGTATTTTGTATTTGATGTGTGTAGGCTCACCTTGCCGGCCTTATGAAAACGAGATAGAGACTTAGTGTCAGGCAGGAGGCTGGGCCAGCATAGTAATGATGAAGAACTGACTTCGTCCTTTGACCTGTGGTTTACATGACTGTATCAGGTGCGTCCTGAAAATGATGATGGCCTAGGGGGTTGGACATAGTGGGGGCGAACAGGTTAACCCGGCATCTGTGCCACAGCCTGTGTCCTCGAGATCTTTAAGCTCAGTACTGGCGTTGGGGGAGTGGGGAGAATATGAGCTGGAGCAGGGCTAGAAATGGGTAGTAGGCCTGCAAACGGCTGGCAAAGACGGCTCGGTGGTGCAGACGCACAGGCCTGGTAAATCAGTTCTTTGTGGTCATTTTGTTTTCTACATGGGAATATTCACAAGATTTCCAGCTGCAATATCCAGAACACTGGAAACAGCCGAAAGGCGATTATGCTGTGTGAAAGAAGCCAGGAAAGAGAGTGCACACACGACTCATTTGATGACTACGTCTTTAGCGACAAGCGGCTGAGCAGGACGGGTAAGTGGCATGGCTGGGACGAGGCTGGCCACAGGCTCAACGTCCGTGGCTTCAGCTTTCTTTGCGACCCTCCAACACCCCTCACCATCTCACTTTTCCAAACCGTGGTCTCCCGAGGGACGCACCCTCGCCCAGCTCCCGGGCGGCTCCGGCTCCGCCGCCCGGACACCGAACTCCGTCCGGGCCAACGCGCACCCGCCCCGGGCGCAACCCTCCCCGGCCACAGCGCGCCGCCTGCTTTCTTGTCAAGCCCGCGTAAATTTTGACACGGCTTCTGAGCCTTTTCTCAATGAGAATCGAGACTGCGGAGCCCGGAGGTTATTTTATTTCCCACCGAGCCGAGACGTCACGGCCGTTAAGAGCCGCGGCCCTTAGATGCGGAAGGGCTCCGGCCTTTGAAAACCTGGCGCCGTTCCCCGCCCCCTACAACGAGGAGCCCTGCCCCTCCAAAGATGACCCCCACGTCATGTCTGCCTTGCGTGAACTCGAGCCTCGGAACATCTCTCCCTTTTCCCGTAAGAGCTGAGGGGCCAGGAAGCGCGAGGCTTTCGGCGGCGTTCACCGTCCCGTCACCGCCCAAACGCAGCCGCCGTGCCTTCAGTACGTCAGGTGTGCAAAGATGGCGGCCTCCAGGGCGTCGGGGCGATGGCCGCGCGGACCTATGACCTCATAAGGAAGCGCCGGAAACCCGTATTCCGTTCTCCATAGAAACGCGCCAGAAACGCCGCGGACCCTCGTCAGGTGTTCCCGGGAGAAGAGTCGGGGTGAGGGGACTAGAGCGAAGGAAGTTTAGGGAAGTAAGTTGGGCCCTGGAGAGGTCGCTGCAGGCTCAGGAGAGACTCAGTTCCGCGTGTGGGTCGGTCTGTGGAGAAGGGTTGGGGAGGAGAGGGGCGGCCTAACGGTGTCTGGGTCAGTTGTTGGTCCCTTGAGTCTGTGAAGGTAGCGCAGGGGCGGGTGTGTTCCTGGGAGGTGAGCACGGAGGACTCTGTACTGTATGTAATCGAGATGTCTTTGGGGTCAATCCCGGGGGGTTCCGGTGGTCAGTGATGGCAGGTCTGAGCAGGTGAACTGCCGAGAGTCCTGAAGTCAGGGTTTAGAGCCTTCGCGGGTCACTCTCCTTGTAGGTGATTGACAACGGGCGGGGTGGTGTTTGTTAATGAAGGTGGCGTTTGGCGCGGGTTCTGGGATAATTCCTCGATCAGTGATCGAGGAACTATTAAGGGAGGCCAGTGTACGTGTGTCGCCGGTCCGGGTTTGGTATTGCCTGTCGTTTGTGCGGGGTTGTGTGACAACAGGCTTGGAGGTTCAGGAACACTGGCCGGTTTGTGCGTCGGGCTCAGGCTCGCTCCTGGAACAGAGTTGTTGAGCGTTAACATTCCTCAGAAGCTTCAGGCCCAAATCCCTCCTCCATACAATTTTCTAATTTCTTTTGGCGCCCCACCTCATCCCATCCCTTTGAACCTGCAGAAATGAAAGCTTTGAGGGAGAGGAACGGTTCAGATTTAAAGTCAGTCTTTTATTTAAAATTCTGTGTTTATCCTTCTGTAATTTTTGTGTATTCTTTTGGATATTTCCTTTCAGGTTACACATGTATGTAAAGGCTGCTATTTTCCCAGTATTTATATTTTTGAGGTGTTTTAAATTTAAGAAAAAAATTTTTTTTTGAGGTGTTTTTAAAAATTTGTATCTAGGGGCGCCTGGGTGGCTCAGTTGGTTGAGCAACTGCCTTCGGCTCGGGTCATGATCCCAGGGTCCTGGGATCGAGCCCCACATCGGGCTCCCTGCTCGGTGGGAAGCCTGCTTCTCCCTCTCCCACTCCCCCTGCTTGTGTTCCCTCTCTCGCTGTCTCTCTCTCTCTCTCTCTGTCAATTAAATAAATAAAATTTAAAAAAAAATAAAAAAAATAAAAATTTGTATCTATTGCTCATATTCCTTCCCTTTATTTCGGTGTGCCCATTGTTCCTCCTATTGAAATGTAGGTAGATAGGGTGTGTAAAGATTTTTAAAGAGTTAGAGCAAGATGGTTTAAAGGAAAAATTCACTGTTGCTCACTGTCCATATGGCCTCATTTCTAAAATTGATCTGAAAATTACCTGCCACTGAGGCATAGTTCTGTTCTGATTCTCCTTTGCCACTTTCCCCTTGCTTGTTATTTCTACACATTCAGAGTCTTATGCCTAAGGCATGATTTCTGGGGAACCGAATAAAGAGACAGAAATACTGGGACTTTGTGTTAAGATGAGTGCATAGCAAGAGAGAATGTAACACTGAAAGTAATTTTGTTCTTTGGCCCACAGGTCCTGACAAGAGACAAGAAATGAAGAAAAAGGAGGTCCCAGGACCTAGATAGTGTCATCTCTGGGCCACTTTTGACTGGTGACTAGATTTCTAACTAGAAATTTAGAGCATATCCAGAAGAGACAAAGACAATATCCCAGTTGCTGGCCATTTCTCAGAACAGAAGAAAATGATCAATGCCCAGGTGATTTTTGTCTTGTTTTATTCTTTCCTTTGTTCCCTAATGGATGTGTAGAGGCTTGTAAAAATCAGTTCAGTATCTAGAGAGAAGGAAAGTTCGAATCTAACTCCAACATCGTCACAAAGTAGAATCAAGAATATAGGGTTCAGGGGAGCCTGGGTGGCTCTGTCGGTTAAATGTCCAGCTCTTGATTGCAGCTCAGGTCTTGATCTGAGGGTCATGAGTTCAAGCCCTGCACTGGGCTCCACGCGTGGAGCCTACTTAAAAAAAAAAAAAAGAATGTAGTGTTCATATGATTCCTAGTAAATGACTGTTGGAATATCATATGTAACTGAAGGATCCTCTGGCTTACATTAGCTGTCACACTGCCTCTAATATGTGTGACAACCAACATAAGAGCATCATGTTATGTGATATGCAGGGACCACGAGGAGAAAGCAGAAAGACTCCTCTGGCACTGAGGACTCAAGAAAAGTTTTATATTCTTCTCAGAGGTGATGGGGTGGACAGTGTTGTGAGCAGTAGCCTTCTAATAAAAGCTGCAGCAGACTTCCTACTGCTGTTTATTACAGAGTTCCTCAGAGTCTCCTGTGGGAATAGACCACGGAAACTCAGTGAACACAATTTTTGCAGGAGAGGCTTCACAAACAGGTGGCTGAACTGGCATTGAATTACAGATTTGGCATTAGATGGTTGCAAGAAATTTTGTCTGGTAAGAGCTTGAGTTTATAAGGTTCCAGAGTGTTTGCTGTATAACCTCGTGTTATCTCAGAAAATGCAGAATCCCTTCTATTTTAAGATTTAATTTTTACCTACTTTTCCTTGATTGCTTTTGGTTCCTGTAATTATACAAATGACTCATGAGTACCTTTTTTAAAAAAAGATTTATTTATTTACTTACTTATTTTAGAGAAGGAAAAAACACGAGTTGGGGGAGGGCAGAGGGAGAGGGAGAATCCCAAGCAGATAGCCTCTGAGCCTGGAGCCAATACAGGGTTCGATCCCACCACCCTGAGATCACGGCCTGAGCCAAAATCAAGAGTTGGACGCCCAAGCAACTGAGCCACCCAGGAGCCCCTCATGAATACCTTTTTTTTTTTTTTTTCTCATGAGTACCTTTTAAAGGAAAAGAAATCCTCATGATGGTGTACACATGGGCAAAAAAGTAAATTCCCTCTTCATGTCCCCTTTCCTCATTCCCTCGTACCACTTTAGCAGATGCTTGGTGTCTTCTTGCTGTCAGTGAACCTGTGTGTGCATCTGTATACATGTGCCCGTTTACAAATGTATTTGGACTTATGTATATTTGTGTTTGTAAACACACCTATCATGACATTTTGTGTATCAATGGAATCATACTCCAAAGGACATAATCTGTTGTCTTAAGATGGCATAATTCAAGCATCTAAAGGAATAATAACTGCAAATGATTGGTGACTATTAACTCTACAAAATTCCATTTGTCTGTAATCGTACTCAACAAAATGAGTTAAACTATGTTAAGCATTTAGTAAGTGCCTCCTAAGTGGTATGTGGACCACCCATGCCTGAAATCTTTGCCAGTGCTAATAATAAGACATTATCAGATTGCTAAATTTTCTTTCTTTTTTTTAAAAAAAGATTTTATTTACTTATTTGAGAAAGAGAGAGGGAGCGTGAGAGGGAGAAGTAGACTCCCTGCCGAACAGAGAGCCCAATATGGGGCTTGATCCCGGGACCCTGAGATCATGACCTGAGCTGAAGGCAGACACTTAACTGAATGAGCCACTCAGGTGCCCTGAGATTGCATAATTTTCATCACTCCGAATGGTCCAATAGTCTTTTGCCTTATTTTGAGATTGGAATCCTTATTTATTTGTTGGCCAGTTGGATTTTTTCTCTTTTGAAATGCCTTTTACATAAAGAGAAGCATTTTTTTCTTACTGATTAATGAGAGTTGTTTATATCTACTATATATTGGTTCTTTATTTTGTTTATAAAAAAATATCTCCCAGCTTGTTACTTTTCGCTTTGTCCAGGGTATCTTTTTCAACACAAATGTTTTAATTTTTTCCTCTCACAAATTTTATTACTTATTTTCTCCTGTGGATTTTGGCTTGTGACATGAACATCACAAGTTCCTTTGTTTTATGGTTGACTTTAAACAGGAAAAAGTTATTTTCGAGTGTGAAATTAGGTAGGAACCTAAGTTTTCATTTTTCTAAATGGATCTCCATCTCACATAAAATAATCAGAATGTGATAAAATCAACAGTGTTAAGAATTTGCAGCCTCTACCAAGTCTGTTCTCTTCTCTATGTGATCTCTGCAATGTTGAGGGATAGATTATCCCATCAATTTTTCCCTGATATGGCGGTTCCATTGACAAGCAGGTCTCAGTTCATTCCCTGGTGGCATTTGGGCATAAGCTATATGACCACAGGACAGTACACCGAAGACGTTCCACACTCCTGAACTGCTTTTATTCACAGAACTTCTGACACCAAATGCGTATATTTTCCTCACACCTACTAATTTTGCAACTCTGTGGACACCAGCTGGGTGTCCTACAATTCAACTTAATTCTGACACTCACTACCTGGAATTAGCATCAGATCCCACGGGCCAAGGGCTTGGTTCCGTGAGACTGCCCCCACTTTAGGTGCCAGCCAAAAGTCCCAGGTTGTCACCTATATTTGGGGTGACAAGCTGTAAATTTGAGGGTTCCCACAACCCCCCTTTCAGGTTTGGTAATATGTAGAACAATTCACAGAACTCAGGAAAGCACTTTCCGTACATATACTGATTTACCATAAAGGCTACTACTCAGGAATAGCCAAATGGAAGAGATGCACAGAGCCAGGTATGGGAGAAGGGGTGAGGAGGTCCTCCCTCAGAGAACCACCCTGCCAGCACCTCAGTGCGTTCACCAATCTGGAAGCTCTCCAGATCTGTTGTTTAGGGGGTTTATGATGGTTTTCTTATATAGGCACAATTGATTAAATCACTGGCCGTTGGTGATTGAATTCAACCTTCAGTCCCTCTTCCTTCCCTGGATGTTGGGAGTCTTTCAGGTCTCCTATCCTGAAGCTATTATGCAGGGGCCCCCAGCCATTAGTCATCATGTTAGGATGCAGAAGACACTCATCACTCCAGAGATCCCAACAGATTTAGAAACTGTGCCAGGAACCAGGGAAAGACCAAATATATATTTATCACAACATTTTCCTGGCTTCTATTGTTTTTATTTCACTAAATTTTGTCTTTCTTTAGATGGTAATGAGTCTTCTCTTTCTGGTTGTTTTCATAATCTGACTTTTGCAACTGGTGTTCTGTAGTTTCAGTCTGATGAGTCTAGATACGGATTTCCTGCTTGGTTTTGCTTGCTTACTAAGTCTGTGTTGTAGGATGTTTAGTCGGTTCTGAACTTTTCTCAGTCCTGAGATCTTCCCATTGCTTCTCTGATTCTCTATAATTGCTTCCAAAAACTGTGTATAGACCTCACTCTCTCCTCATTCTCTATTAACTCTACTTTATATTTTCTATCTCTTTGTGTGTCTGCTTCACTTTTTGGATATTTTTTAAAATGAGTATTCCAGTTCACTAATTATCTCTTAAGTGTATCTATGATGTTAAACTTTTATGAAAGAATAAGAAACATACATTGGTCTCTGCCCCTAGTTTCTGACACAAGCCTCCTAAAATCCTTGTAATTCCCTAAGTGAAAAGAGTACTAGAGGCATCTTTTGTTCTAATATTTGGTCTTGGATGTCATCTGCGACAGAGTTCCTAAATCCTTTGGAATTTCCTGAGTGATAGAAGCATCTCTTGTTCTAAAGGCATGATTCTGGGTGTTTCCTGGGGGGGGGGTTGGTCACCAGAAAGACCAACCCATGATCAAAAGTGTGGGATTTTCAGCTGTATCCCCATTATCCAGAGAGGGGTGAGGGGCTGGAAATGGAGTTCATGACTAGCCATACCTGTGACGTAGCCTCCATAAAATTCCAAAGGTGTGTGGTTTGGAGCGCTCCCCGTTTGGTGGACATGGGTGCTGCATGACACGCCCCTCCCCTCGTGCCTCGCCCTGTGTGTCCCTTTGATCGGGATGAAATCCGTGTCCTTGATCATATCCTCTTATAATAAAATAGTATGCAGTAAGTAAACTGAGTTCTCTGAGCCGTTCAAGCAAATTAAACCCAGGGAGGGGGTCATTGGAACCTCCAATCTATAGCCGGTTAGTCAGAAGCACAGGTGACAACATGGACTTGGATTGGTATCTGAAGTGGGGGCAGGGGCCCTCTTGTGGGACTGACCCCTTAACCCATGAAGTGTGACACTATTTCCAGGTAGCTTGTGTCAGAATTGAGTTGAATTGTAGGCCACCCAGCTGGTGTCAGAGAATTGCTTAAAAACATCCAAACCACCACATATACATCAGAATTGGTCTCAGCATTGTAGTTACTATTAGCAGAAAAACTTCCTTTATATTCCTTATGAATCAATGAAAGAAACACTTGGGGCACCTGGGTGGCTCAGTCGTTAAGTGACTGCTTTCCACTCAGGTCATGATCCCAGGGTCCTGGGATTCGGCCCCGCATCAGGCTCTCTGCTCAGCGGGAAGCCTGCTTCTCCCTCTCCCACTCCCCCTGCTTGTGTTCCCTCTCTCGCTGTGTCTCTCTCTGTCAAAAAATGAATAAAATCTTTAAAAAAGAAAGAAAGAAAGAAAGAAAGAAAGAAAGAGAGAGAGAGAGAGAGAGAGAGGGAGAGAGGGAGAGAGGGAGAGAGGGAGAGAGAGAGAGAGAGAGAGAG